AAGGTTTGCACGTCAAAGGGTTGGAAGACCACCCCGAGAGGATAATGGGCCATGCCCAGATGAGGATGGGTTTGTTATTTTTTATCTTTGTTGTCTCTTTTGCAGTAAAAAGCGAGAGACAAGGCTTGGCTGTATGGTCAGCAGAGGTGCCAATAATCTCAAGGAAATAATTTACCTAAATCAACATGTAACCTGGGGAACCACTCTGCAAATAAATCAGGCTGCATCCAGAGACCTGGAGCATTTGCTCCCCTGCGATGCCTCCCCTCACTCCTACCAGCGTGTGCTTGTAGTTCATTGCGTCGTGCCGGCCCCAGCAGGCCGAGAGAGACAGCACAGCAGCACGTTTTTCTGACGGTTGCCAGGACTAAATCAAACGTTGCCTGTGATGGGCCTCAGGAGCCCCCGGCCCTCAGCACAGGTCCAGGTGAGCAGAGCGCCAGAAAGATTGTGGTGTGTTCCCCGGGCCCATAGACACAATTTAAAATAAAAATAATACTAAACCACAAAATAAGTGCAATAAAGGCCATCAAAATTCTGACTTTCAATGATGATTAGTTCCAGTGCTTTTTTTTCCTGGACAGGTTCTTTTAAAACTCATTTCCTCTCTGTTTCAGGGCCTTGAGTGCTTGTTTGGTACCTGGTCAGACACGAAACCACCTGGGGTGAGCGCAGGTGCTCCACTGGCCTGTCTAAGACCCTGGGGGCCCTGTGGGCAGGCAGGGCGGACCTCAGAGAGCTAGTTCCCAAGGGCTAGAGCCAGGGCCAGGCCTAGCCCAGAACCTGCTCAGAGGAGCCTACCAAAGGACAAGGCTGAAGCCGGCTAATGATTGAGCCACCCCAAATATTGACAGAGCCTCGGCCCTGACACTGCCACCATAGGTGACTCCTCTCGCTCCATGTCACAGGACAGAACAGGAACTTTGGAGCCTCCCACACTCCCCTGTGGACTCTCCCAGCAGGGATATCTCGGGGAGCCCCTCTGGACGTCCCTCGGGTGGCTGAGACGGCTGCCAGCACAGGCGTGCCACAGTGACTGTGTTCAGGACAGCACGCCCAGCTCCCTGAGGCCTCCTTTGCCACAGCCCTGGGGCTGGCCAGGGGCCCCATCCCTGGGCCGGCTCTGCTAGGCCTCTCTCCGCCTCCCCTAGGCCTCAGCCACCGACTCCTGATCCTCTCCCACCAGGCATTCTCCTGTGTTCACATCATCTCCCCTCTGGGTGTGTCTGTGCCAAGTTCCCCTTTTGTAAGAACACCAGTCACGGTACAGGCTCACCCTGCTCCTGTCGAATCTCATCTGAACTAATTACATCTGCAGTGATCCTATTTCCAAATAAGGTCGCTTTCTGAGGTCCTATGGTGAGGACATGAGCATATAAATATGAGGGGCAGGAACACAGTGTGACCCTGACACTTCATGAGGGTTCATTTTATGTGTCAACTTGGTGGCTGAGCCAAGGTGCCCAGAAGCTGGTCAAGCACTGTTCTGGGTGTTGTCTGTGAGGGTATTTTTGGGCGATATGACAGTAAAGCAGACCATTGCCCTCCGTGGTGTGGATGGGCCTCAGCCAATCAGGTCAAGGCAGAACAGACGGACCTCCCCTGAGCAAGAAGGAGTCCTACCCACAGACGGTCCCGGACTCGAACTAATATTGTTCCCTAAGTCAGCAGCCTGTCCATCTATCCCATCAGACCTTGGGCTGGCCAAGCCCCCACAACTGCATGAGCCAGTTCCTTAAAATAAATCTCATGTGTGTGTTAGACAGACAGATAGATAGATCAATAAATGCTATTGATTCTATTTCTCTGGAGAACCCTAATTAATACACGATTACTTTTAACTTTTGTTGTTTCTTGATTAGTGTTTTAAGATACGATTTCCGCCCTGGCTGGTTTGGCTCAGCGGTTAGAGCGTCAGACCGCGGACCAGAGAGTCCCGGGTTTGGTTCCCGCTAAGGGCACATACCTCAGTTGTAGATTGTCCCCGGCCTCGGTTGGAGTCGTGTGAGTGGCAGCCACTCGATGTGTCTCTTCACATTGATGTTTCTCTCTCTCTCTCTTCCTCCCTCTCTCCTTCACTATCTGGAGATAAATGCAAAAATGTCCTCCGGTGAGGATAAACAAAGATATAATTTCCCTCGCCCAGCCGGTGTGGCTCAGTGGTTGAGCATTGAGCCATGCACCAAAAGATTGCTGGTTCAATTCCCAGTCAGGGCACATGCCCAGACTGTGGGCCTGATCCCCAGTAGGGGCGATTGATGTTTCTCTTTCTCTCTCTCTCTCCCTTCCTCTCTCTCTAAAATCAATAAAGGAAAAATATATATATATAAATAGATAGATAGATGTGTATTATATAGTCAGATTTTTTTGTTGTTGTTAATCCTCACCTGAGGATATTTTTCCTTTGATATTTTTAAAGAGAGAGCGGAAGGGGGGGGGAGAAACATGGATGTGAGAGAGACACATTGATCAGTTTCCTCCCCCATGACTCCAACCAGGGCCAGGGATCAAACCTGCAACCCAGGTAGATGCCCTTGACCGGAATCGATCCCACGACCCTTTGGTCTGAAGGCCAACACTCTAACAGAGTCTAACTGCTGAGCCAAACCGGTCAGGGCTTGTCAGATTTATTTTTTATTCTGAGAGTACTGTCTCTTAATTGGTAACTTTACTTAATTGCATTTATCATTATTATTTCCACTGTATTCCATAGTTTCCATCGACTCTAGCTTCACTTTATATTTTTATATTTAAGTCCGTTTTGAGTTCATGTTGTATGAGATGTAAGACAGGTCAAGGCCACTTCGGGCCACAAGGCACAGTGGCTTTGATGAGGCTCCTCCTCCCGAGGCCTTGCCCTTTTGTCCGAGCAGATGGCCATGGCTGTGTGGGCCTGGTTCTGGGTTCTCCATTTTGTGTCTCTCCCTCCACCAATATTAGAACACAATCTTTTTTTTTTTTTTTCTGTATTGGTTTTGAGAGAGAGAGGAAGGGAGAGGGAGAGAGATAGAAACATGGATGAGAGAGAACATCGACTGGCCGCCTCCTGCATGCCCCCCACTGCATGTGCCCCCACCGGGAATCGAACCAGCCACCTCTTGGTGCAGGGTCGACACTCAACCACTGAGCCACACCGGCCAGGCTAGAACACAGTCTTGATCACTATATCTAGATTATAAGCCATGACACTGGGTAGAGTGAACCCTCCTAATTTAGTCTTCTTTTTCCGAAGTATTTCAGGTATTCAGGGTCCTTTCCAGAGACTAAGTGTTGGTTTGATAGTTTTGCTAAGTTCACTGCAAGCAGGGCAGCAGATCTCTTCAGGCCGCCATCCTGCAGCTCTCTGCCTGTGCTGGCTACCGTCCTGACAGGACCCCCGGGGCTCTCCCGGCCCGGCCCGCCCGGTGCCACTGTCTCAACTCACCACATCCTGCTGCAAGTGTGGGCACCCTGGCCCGATGTACTGACAGCAGATGGCTCCGGCCTTGGGCCTGGCTTCCCCCACGTGCAGGTGGTTCCACGCACCCCTTCTCCAGGCCCGGAACAGGTGAAGGCCCAGCCCAGGCCTGCCTCTTCTCCTGGGGTTCCACACGGACAGCTGCCCAGTGGGCCCCAGCTCCGCCCGGCTGTAAGCAGCTGCTGTGGTACTGACAGCCCGGTACAGCCGCAGGTCACAGCCTCTCACTGTGACTGACGCGTGCTCACGCCTGAGACTCTGGCCTTGACTCTACGGCCTCGGCAGTGTCCACAGGGCCTCCCTAAGCAGAAAAGGGTCCAGTGCTGTTCAACCCGCCACACATTCACCTGACCTGGGGGGATTTAAAAATCAGCATCTGGCCCGGTCAGTGTGGTTCAGTGGTGGAGCGTCGACCCTGCACCAAGAGGTCACCGGTTTGATTCCCTGTCAGGGCACATGCCCAGGTTGTGGGCCTGATCCCCAGTGGGGGGGCATGCAGGAGGCGGCCAATCGATGTTCTCTCTCATCCATGTTTCTATCTCTCCCTCTCCCTGCCTGTCTCTCTAACATCAATACAATTTTTAAAAATCAGTGTCTGGGTCTCCTACCCCACACCAGTTAAACCAGAATCTCTGAGGGTGGGACTGGACAGAATGTTGTCGGAAGCTCCCTAGAGAGTTCAAATGTAGGACCTGGTGGCTGCTCTGGGTCCAGCCCCTCATCTACAGGCCTGGGGGGGGGGGGAAGTGACCCCCCTGAGGCCACAGAGAGGTAGGCAGGCTCCTCTAGGGCAGGTCTGACTCACCACCGTCCTTTATGATCAGGCGCATCCGTCCTCCTTCCTCTGACGCCCTGACCTGCACCACAGCCAGGTCTGCAGCCTCTTGCTTACTGGCTCCTATGTGTGGCATTGCTCTTCAGCAGCTTCTCCAGCTGCACCCTGAGCTACTGCTGGGCTGAACCAACACCTTCCAGGTCCCCGGCTTCTCCCCTCACAGGGCTGTGATGGCTCAAAACCCTGCCCACAGGGACCCGCAGAGACAGACAGGAGCACCTAGGTGTGCGCAGCAGACCTGGATTCGAACCCCGGCCCCACCATGTAAGCATTCCCCAAGCCGCCCCCTTGTGTGCGGTGAATGAACCCTCCCAGCTCCAGCGCTGGGTTTATCGTGAAGCTTCAGTTTTGGGACCCCTGACCCGCTCAGGCCCCTCCCGAGGCCCTGGGGAGCCTCTCACAGCGCTGAAGTCACATGTTTGATTCTTTTTCTTAAAGAGAGTGCCCCAAATGTTACCAGCTTCAGACCCCACTAAGCTTAGCCACGCTTGCCTACCCCACAGGGGCTGTGGGTGCTAACCCACTTTCTGTTCACAGAGTCGGGGACACCAGCTGCTCAATGCTTCCCTCCAGGACCGCCCAGAACAGGGACAGACAGACAGCCAGCCAGCAGCTGGCATGCTCGCTCAATGCGCCTTTTAATGTCCCGATCAGCGCCATTCCAAAGCCCGTCCCCAGGCCAGGAGCGGCCTCGGCCGGGGCGGGATGCTAGGGCGCCGGGCTGTCCAGGGGGGCCGCCTCCGCTCGGATGTAGCTGTGGATCCAGTCAAGGTAGCGGCTGACTTTGGTGTAAACGCCATAGTTGTGGAGTCGCCCGCAGCCCTCTCCCCAGCTCACCAGGCCCACCAAGAACCAGGTGTCGTGGAAGGCGGCGACCATGGGCCCGCCGCTGTCCCCCTCGCAGGCGTCCCGCGGGTCCCCCAGGACGCCGGCGCACAGCATGTTTTCCGAGACCACGTTGTGCATGACGGGCACGCACGCGCTGTGCGGCACCACCGGGATCTTGATGAAGTTGAGGACGAAGGTGCGGTTTCTCTTGGTCTCACTGCGGTAGCCCCAGCCGGTCACCACCGTCTCCTGGCCGACCTTGGTGAGCTCGCGCTCCGCCAGGCCGCGGTCGGGCAGGCAGACGGGCAGCACGCTCCTGGAGAAGGTGACGGGCCAGGCCAGGCGGAGCAGCGCGATGTCGTTGTCAGAGGTGGGGCGGCTGTAGTTGGGGTGCATGACCACCTCCGCGATGTCCAGGTCCACCTCCCACTTCTCCTTGCGCCGCAGGTCGTACTCTCCTGCGGGCAGAGGGGCTGTCAGAGGAGCCTGGGGCAGGCCCCTGGCTGTGCTACAGGTAATGATAGGGAATGTGGATCTGGTCACTGTTGATACATCTTTTCCTTCTTTTTTTTTTATCCTCACCCGAGGACATTTTTCCATTTTTTGTTCAGGTAGAGTGGGAGGGAGAGACAGGAACAGAGAGAGAGAAACATCGACGTGAAGGGACACATCGAGTGGCTGCCACCCGCACAACCGACCAGGGCCAGGGACAAACTGCAACCGAGGTACATGCCCCCAGCGGGAACCGAACCCAGGTCTCTCAGGACCGCAGGCCGACGCTCTAACCGCTGAACCAAACTGGCCAGGGCCTTTTCCTTCTTTTTTGCAGAAAGTTACATGAAGAACGGAGTGACAGTCTCCTCCAGAAACTGGTACAGAGTGGGGCCCAGGCTTGAGGACCCCCAAACTGCTGCAGGGACGCAGCTGGCTGCGTGACAGATGCTAGGGCCCTGCTGCACAGTGTCACCCCATCAATCCATGCTCGGCAGGACCCCAAGGCTGGGCTGTGTGGGGGCCTGTGGGTCTGTGCCAAAGAGGCAAGTGTGTGTGTAACCCTTCACTTGCAAACGCTTGTGTATAAGCACCTGGGCCCAGACTTGAAGAGAGCACCAGAGAATCCCCTACCTGCAAAATACCAAGTGTCACTGTGTCTAAAATCCCACAATAGGAAGGACAGGGTGGGAGCAAATAGGCCTCTGCCCCCCAGACACCTTCCATAGACCTCAAGTAGCCTCTTGCTCAAGCACCGCCCAGGGACAGGGTCCCCAAGCATGGCCAGCTGGTCAGTGCCACCCCTCCCTGAGCCCGCAGGGGCCCTCCTGCCCGGCGGCCCGCACCAAGCCTGACGGTGAGCTTCTTGTGGTCCTCCATGCAGTGGGCAGCTGTCAGCACCCAGGAGCTGTGGATCAGCACTGCCCCGCAGGCCAGCTTCTTCTTCGAGTCCAGCAGGATGCCCTGGAATGGGAGTGGGGGCCCATCAAGCACAACCTTCTGACAAGTCAGGGGTCTGCGTCTCAGCACAGACCCAGTGTGGTTCTCAAACCTGAGGCACCAGAAGCATAAACAGGTCTCTCCCAGGTTCCACGGTCATGTGGCCCAGGGCTTCCGGCACCTGATCTGCATTTTCTCTCTCTGCAGCTCACAGAGCTGGCCTGTTGCCGGCTTCTCCCTTCAGTGCCATCAGCTCTCTCCTCCCCTCCTCCCTCCAAGCAAAGGCAGCAGCTCCCCTTCTGTGCATCCTGAGCAGCAACTCCCAGGCTGCCACCTACCCTCTTCTCACCTGCCAGGGGCTGTCTCCCTGCACGGTCGACTTTCCATTGACGATTCGGGGGTCCATCTGGTCTATTTGGTCTGGGCAGCATTTCAGGGATCTGCCCTTCTTGTTCACTGGGCTCCATGGTCTCCCACAAGGGAACTTCACTGAAGGCGAGGGAGGTGGTGAGGGCCTCGAGGCAATGCCCCCAGATCTCCCTCCCATCCTGTCCAGCTCGTGCTTACAGGCCAGTTTGCCACATTGTGGGACTAAAGGAACAGATGCTGTTCAAACACACAAACACATGACCTGCACTCCTCTTGAGTCAGTCAACAAACAAGGGTCAGACCAAGCAGCATTGCTGCCTGGTTGTGTGTCCTTGGGAGGCTGTTAAACGCCTCAGAGTTCAGTATTCTCAGGGCTGCTGGGAGCAGTCCCTGAGACACATAAGCAAGGTCTCATGCAGGGACGCTGCCAAGCTCCTAACACAGGTGAGGACTTATGGAGAGGAGGAGGGGGCATTCTTGGAGAGCCCCAAAGTAGCTCTGAGCACGGTTGTGAGGTCCTCTGTCAAGAGGAGAGGGCACCTGATGGAGAACTGAGGGCCAGGAGCTCTGCCTGGGTCTGCTCAAGATGGGACATCAGCTAGGCTGAGAGATTCAGGCTTATTGCAGGGCATGGGAAACCACGGGCAGGGGAACTGAATACGGAGACAATAGCAACAGAGCTCCAGAAGCTGCACAGCAGGTGGGTGTTGGCCAGCTGAGAAAGCAAAGACCTCAGGCAGTGATAGCAGATGCCAGACCCGGGCTGCCTTGCACCACAGAACCCAAGGAAGGCTCGACGCTTCCCAAGGATGCAGTGCAGGTGGGATGGCAGGCAGGAAGGCTGAGCATCTATGAGACACTGAGAGCCCTAGACCTCCGTCCTGACTCGTCAGTGACTTGATCGGCTCTCCTCTCTTGCCCCCGGCAGAGACCTTAGGTGGATTAGTCTCGGCAGAGACTAACCCAGAGGCTGTAACCTGGGGGTTCCTGGCACTGCCCAAGAAAGGGGACATTCAGAGCTGACCAGAGGGAACAGATGCCCGCTCCCTCCCCATCCTGCTCTGGGGCAGAGAGCCAGGCTGGAACCACCCTGGCAGGAGCTTGGAGTGAAGTGCAGACCTAAGGGGCTGTGCAGTGGGGCTTCTGCCATTGCCTAAGCCTTCAGATGGTCTCGCAGGAAGGGCCCACCAGGCATTTTGTTGCAACTACCTATGAAATCTAATTAATTCAAAATTCAACAACTGCTTTTTCAGTCAAAGGACTGGAATATAAAGCTGTGGAAAGTTCCCCGAGAGAAGAACTCAAAGTCAAGGACAAGGAGAACAGAAGAGACGATAAAAGGTCTGTTGAGAGGAGGAGATCTGGGGCAGGGGCATCAGCAAGAGGACAGCCAGCAGGCCTAGAGGTGGAGACAGCCACACCTTCGCAGGCCCACTGGCGGAAGCCTGGAAGTGAAATTCACATCAGAGCTGTGAGACTCGGACTTCTTTGTCCCTATAGGAATTTGATGGAAGTTAAAATCTACACAAAAGAAAACAGAGAGGAAGGCAGAAGCGTGGGTTCCTGTCTCTCCACAGAGCAGCCAGAGTTAAAGGGGGAAATGGGGTACTGGGCTGGGAAAGGCGTCTTAAGGAAAGAAAGCCATTACAGATAGACGGCGCTCTGTGCCGGCTCAGACCTGGGGAGATGAGCTACCTAGGCTCAGACTCCAGGAGCTGTGTGTGTGCAAGGCGAGCAGGGAGAAAGCGCGGGAGGCAGTGGACCTGGGGTCGGGCGGCCCATCCCTCCAGCAGGCCCAATGCTGTTCCTCGCTCGCGCCCGGCCGAGGCTCACCTCCGGCCTCGGGCTCGCAGTACATGTGGTCCTCTGCCAGCTCGTAGCCGGGCGCGCAACTGCAGTGGCGCCGGCCCCCCTCCTCCAGGCAGTGGTGCGCGCAGCCGCCGTTGTCCACCGAGCAGTTGAAGATGCGCATTTCTGCCGGCACCGAGGAGGGCGCCTTGGGGGCGCGGTGGCACAGCAGGTCCGGCCGTCGCGCCCCCTACGGGAACCCCCACGGGTGCCCCACCCGCGCCCCCAGGCGGGCCCCTCACCGGTCCGGCAGAAGCGGCCCTCCCAGCCCTGGTCGCAGTCGCAGCGGAAGCCGCCTATGCCGTCGATGCACGTGCCGTGGCCGCAGCACGTGCTGCCGCACGGGTGCTCCTGGGGCTGGACCTTGCACTGGTCGCCGTCTGCGACATGGGGTTTGGGAGGTGCCACTGGTGCCGCCAGCCCCCTTCCCGTCCCCACAGCGGCCCAGAGACCCCAGGGACACGGGCACGGAGCCAGGGTCTAGAGCGCACTCACCGATGTACTTGGACCAAAAGGCCAGCTGTGGAGAGAAGGGTCCGCGTCAGGGGCTGTCAGCCCAGGTGTGTATAGCACCTCCCCAGGTGGTCCAGGTGAGGCTAGCAACCTCTCAGTGTGCAGGGGAGAGAAGGGCTTCCAAAGAGGGGTCAACCCCTGCTTGTCACCAGCCTCTAGTACAGCTGCACCCAAAGTGAGGACAGCTCTTCCTTGTCCCCTGTTGCCCATCTCCATGACCTCCCATGAACAACACCCCCGACCCCCCAGCTGGAAGCCTGCTCCCTGGATGTCTGCTACAATAGCAGCCTCTGCAATGAAAGGGACCCATGTTCCACCAGGATGCTCTGCCTCCTTCCAGTCCCTGGCCCTCACTCCTCCTGGCATTTCTGGACCTCTCCTGCATCTGGTCTTTCCCTAAGCCGGTGTCTCCAAAGTTGAGCAAGCTCCTGGATCTCATGGGTGAGACACAGATGGCTGGTTCAGGTCTGGGACAGCTGTCTGCTTTTCTAAGGGGTGCTGCTGCTGGTGGTCTGGGACCACCCCCGTGAAATCCACAGCTTGATGCCTAGGCCATCACTCCGTCCTGCAGCATGGGCTCTGCCCTGCCACCCAGAGCCCTCAGGGTGAGCTGGGGGCCCAGGAGGAACGTGAGAGGCTCAGGTTGCACCTGCAGATATCATCTAGTGTCTGCTGAGGAGGATCTCTGGGGAAACAGGCCATGGGGAGTCTGGTCAAGGAGGTGGCAGCTGAGGTCAGGGGAGGGAGCAGACCAGAGTTCACCCTCAGCCTGGAAAGCCCTGAACCGGAAGTGAAGGGACCCCCGGTGGCACAGCTCCCAGGTCCTAGCAGTTGAAGTTGGCCCTTGGGGATGGAGGGTTCTGAGACTTGTATCAGAAAGCCAAGTCCACCTTCCGTGTCTGGGCCACCCTCAGGCCTGGGGCTGGACAGGACAGAGGTGCCCTGAGCATGCACATTTGCCCCTGGGAATATGGACTGAGGCAGAGTCAGCATATGTGGATCCACAGGTCCATGAGTGAAGGAAAGAGGGTGGTCTTTTGGTCACAGAGAGAGAACAGGGGAGTTGGAGGTGGCCAGCTGCAGCTGGAGGGTGAGCACCCACAGTAGACTTGTGTGGGCACCCCAGCCTAAGGCTCCCCCAAGCTCTTTCTTCCTAGAGCTAGTCGCAGAGTTCTGTTTCCTGCCGTCACACACGCCCTAGGGCCAGCGTCCTGGTCATTCCAGGCATTTGGCCCAAGCTGGATGGGGGAGGGGCTGGGGACCCTGCCTCCCCAGACCTCCAAGAAGGCCTCGGTAATTAGCGCCACCCTGCCCTCCAAGCCCCACTGAGCCACCAACCCGCCCCTCGACCTGTCCTCCGGGCCCAGGCAGGTGGCCTCACCGTACTGTCCACGTCTTGGAACACCTCCTGGGCCTCCTCGAAGTCACAGATCTCCTCCATGCACTCCCGCTCCAGGTTGCTGGCCCGGAGCTCCTCTAGGAAGGTGTTGGCGCGTTTCCGTATCCGCAGCACCTGGTGGGCCCGCTCACCACTGGAGAACACTGAGTCTGCTGGGGGGAGGAGCATCCTTGGGTGGAGGGGCCTGAGGTGCCGCCAAGCTGGCTGAGCCGGGGAAGGACTTAGAGTCCAGGTTGCATTTCTCTCCTCTCTCTGTTCTCTTCCTTCACTCCAAGGGGTGGCTGGAGGCCGCAGGACAGGCTTGACCATTCAGGCCTCCCTGGAACCCCAGTCTGACATCTGTGTGACCTGGAGCCAGTGTCTTTACCTCTCTGAACCTGTTTTTCATCCCAATTGGGGATGTTTTACAGTACTAGGTAAAACAGTCCAGTGTCTGGTACAGAGTGAGCACCCGTCACAAGCCGTGTGCCGTTGTGATCAAGAAGTCAGTGGCTCAGTGGTTGAGCATCGACCCCTGCACCAAGAGGTCACCGGTTCGATTACCAGTCAGGACACATGCCCAGGTTGTGGGCCCGATCCCCAGTGGGGGTCATGCAGGAGGCAGCCAATCGATGTTCTTTCTTATCTATGTTTCTATCTCTCTCTCCTTCTCCCTTCCTCTGTTTCTAAAATCAATAAATAAAAAAAAAACAATAAAATAATAAAGCCATGGCCAATTTGGCTCAGCGGTAAGAGTGTCAGCTCTCGGATGGGAGAGTCCAGGGTTCGGTTCCCGCTAAGGGCACGTACCTCTGTTGCAATTTATCCCTGACCCTGGTTAGGGTTGTGTGGGTGGCAACCAGTCGATGTTTCTCTCTCTCTCTCTTCCTTTCTTTCTCCCTCCTGCTGTATCTGAAGATAAATGCAAAAATGTTCTTGGGTGAGGATAAAAAATAAATAAATAAATAAAAAGAAAAAAAATTTTAAGAAAAAAAAAAGAACGCAAAGTTGTCAGTCTCCTTGCTCTCTGAATGCACCTGTGCAGCCCTGTCCGCATGCCCCTTCCACGAGTGTCCTGTCTGGCAGTCCCATGCCCCTGCCCCGGGCAGCAGGCCTGTTGCCCAGCGAGTGCCACAGCATGTCTCCTGGGCTCTGAGAGTGTCTGTCTTGGGGACAGGGGACAGCTGGAATGGGAGACCAGCAGGGGAGTTGGGAAGGGAGCTTGAGGAAAGATGCACAGGCCAGGAGAGGACGGTGAGCCTGCGCTGAGTCTGCACAGCTGAAGCAAGGGCTGCAGGTGGGCGCTGAAAGGGGGAAACGGGGGAGGAGGAGGAGGAAGGGCACCCCAGGCAGAGAAGCAGCTCAAAAAGAGACATAGCCCTGGCTGGTGTGGCTCAGTGGTTGGAGTGTCGCCAGCCCACTGAAGGGTCAGGAGTTTGATTCCCAGTCATGGGCATTACCTGGGTGCAGGTTTGATCCCTGGCTCTGGTCAGGACTCTGTGGAAGGCAACCAGTCGATGTATCTCTCTCACATCAATGTTTCTCTCTCCGTGTCTCCCCATCCCTTCCACTCTCTAAAAAATTAGTGGAAAAAATATCCTTGGATGGGGATTAACAAAAAAAGGGGGGGGCATCCGTGCAAGAATAGTCAGTGTGGCTCCAGGAAGGGTTGGGGGTGGGGCTGCCGAATAAACTAGGCAGCCCATTCTTCCTGCAGGCCTCCCCAGCACCCTGCCTCCTCCTGCTGGCTGTGGGGACCTGGGGAGGGGTCCGCAGGGTTTCAGGACAGACGCCTGGGGCAGCGACTCTGACAGGGCCTGGCCTGGGCCACTGGGCTTTCACAGCTGAGGGAGCACGAGTAAAGTGGGAAGGCCCAGGGGACACTGGGAACCATCTCCCTGGGTGGGAGGAAGGGCTTCAGGTGGTGACCGCCCTGACCTGTGGCCCCAGCCATCATCACAGCATGTTGACCTCTGACCAGGGAGAGGCTGCATTCCCCAGGGAGCTCATCTCCGCCTGAGGCTCAGCGGGATGGTTGAAAGCATGAAGCCCCAGGCCTGGGGGATGGGAAGGGGAGTGGTCTTACCAGGAGTCACTGGTGTGCTGGAAATTTCCCAGGCGGTCATGGACAGGAAGAGGCTGGCCAGCCACCACATTCTGGAGTTGCTGACACCTGTCTGAGGAGGACCTGTGAGCTCCCCGTCAGCCCTGTTCTGCCCTCCATCCCCAGATGGGGTTTCCCAGTGTGCTGACTGCTGGAGCAAAGGCTGGAATCCGGACTCCCTGTGCGCCAGGCAGACAGCCAGCTAGCACACTCCCCTCCATGTGGGCTAAGGGCACACCACCACTCCCGCCTGAAGGGCGAAGAGAGAAAGTGGGGAGGTGTGGAGTCCTGGTGCAGATCCAAGGGGACTCCCCTCAGAAGGTCCTGCAGCTGAGCCCAGAACGCCCCTGCCCTCCCCACTCTGGTGAGAGTTCGGGTGGTGCCTCCGCTGGGCAGGCAGGAGGAACAGCGTGGTTCAGGGGGCAGCCACGGAGTCGGCGGCCTGGTGCGAATCCCGCCCCAGGAGGGCAGGGCTGGGCTCCACGCCCATTGCTGTTGTTTGTAAAATGGATAGAAAATGTCTGCCTTCCAGGGTTATCATGAGAATTAAATGAGTTAGTTCACATAAAGCTCTTAGAGTACAGTTTGCACGCAGAGAAGGCTTAGTACACATTAGTTGTTATTGTCTCAGTTAAGACTCACGGCCACCCAACATGGAGGGTTAATGTAGTAACCCCATTTCCTAGAGAAGGACATTGAGGCCCAGAGGAGTGATGAAATTTATTAAAACCCACAACTAAGAGACAGTAGGGCTTGGACTTAAGCCCATGCCCGTATGGCTCCTGGCCCCAAACCATGTCCCAAACGCCTGAGTGCCCAACAAGGCCACAGAGGTGACCCTGCTGGCCAGAAGCCATGGAGCCCTTCACGGCCTCCGAGATCAGAGGGCAGGCCTGCCCGGGCTGCCCTGTGTGAACACTGTCCATCTCCATGTCCACCGGCCTGCCCTGTGTGAACACTGTCCATCTCCATGTCCACCAGCCTGCCCTGTGTGAACACTGCCCATCTCCATGTCCACCAGCCTGCCCGGGCTGCCCTGTGTGAACACTGCCCATCTCCATGTCCACCGGCCTGCCCTGTGTGAACACTGCCCATCTCCATGTCCACCGGCCTGCCCTGTGTGAACACTGCCCATCTCCATGTCCACCGGCCTGCCCTGTGTGAACACTGTCCATCTCCATGTCCACTAGCCTGCCCTGTGTGAACACTGCCCATCTCCATGTCCACCAGCCTGCCCGGCCTGCCCTGTGTGAACACTGCCCATCTCCATGTCCACCAGCCTGCCCGGGCTGCCCTGTGTGAACACTGTCCATCTCCATCTCCACCGGCCTGCCCTGTGTGAACACTGTCCATCTCCATGTCCACCGGCCTGCCCTGTGTGAACACTGCCCATCTCCATGTCCACCGGCCTGCCCTGTGTGAACACTGCCCATCTCCGTCTCCACCGGCCTGCCCTGTGTGAACACTGCCCATCTCCATGTCCACCAGCCTGCCTGGGCTGCCCTGTGTGAACACTGTCCATCTCCATCTCCACCGGCCTGCCCTGTGTGAACACTGTCCATCTCCATCTCCACCGGCCTGCCCTGTGTGAACACTGTCCATCTCCATGTCCACTGGCCTGCCCTGTGTGAACACTGCCCATCTCCATGTCCACCAGCCTGCCTGGGCTGCCCTGTGTGAACACTGTCCATCTCCGTGTACACCGGCCTGCCCTGTGTGAACACTGCCCATCTCTGTCTCCACCGGCCTGCCCTGTGTGAACACTGCCCATCTCCATGTCCACCAGCCTGCCCTGTGTAAACACTGTCCATCTCGGTCTCCACCGGCCTGCCCTGTGTGAACACTGCCCATGTCCCTCTCCACCGGCCTGCCCGGGCTGCCCTGTATGAACACTGCCCATCTCCGTGTCCACCGGCCTGCCCTGTGTGAACACTGCCCATGCCCGTCTCCACCGGCCTGCCCTGTGTGAACACTGCCCATCTCCATGTCCACCGGCCTGCCCTGTGTGAACACTGCCCATCTCCGTCTCCACCGGCCTGCCCTGTGTGAACACTGCCCATCTCCGTCTCCACCGGCCTGCCCTGTGTGAACACTGCCCATCTCCGTCTCCACCGGCCTGCCCTGTGTGAACACTGCCCATCTCCGTCTCCACCAGCCTGCCCTGTGTGAACACTGCCCATGTCCGTCTCCACCGGCCTGCCCTGTGTGAACACTGCCCATCTCCATGTCCACCGGCCTGCCCTGTGTGAACACTGCCCATCTCCGTCTCCACCGGCCTGCCCTGTGTGAACACTGCCCATCTCCGTCTCCACCGGCCTGCCCTGTGTGAACACTGCCCATCTCCGTCTCCATCGGCCTGCCCTGTGTGAACACTGCCCATCTCCGTCTCCACCGGCCTGCCCTGTGTGAACACTGCCCATCTCCGTCTCCACCGGCCTGCCCTGTGTGAACACTGCCCATCTCCGTGTCCACCGGCCTGCCTTGTGTGAACACTGCCCATCTCCGTGTCCACCGGCCTGCCCTGTGTGAACACTGCCCATCTCCGTCTCCACCAGCCTGCCCGGGCTGCCCTGTGTGAACACTGCCCATCTCCATGTCCACCGGCCTGCCCGGGCTGCCCTGTGTGAACACTGCCCATCTCCGTGTCCACCGGCCTTCCCGGGCTGCCCTGTGTGAACACTGCCCATCTCCGTGTCCACCGGCCTGCCCGGGCTGCCCTGTGTGAACACTGCCCATCTCCGTGTCCACCGGCCTGCCCGGGCTGCCCTGTGTGAACACTGCCCATCTCCGTGTCCACCGGCCTGCCCGGGCTGCCCTGTGTGAACACTGCCCATCTCCGTGTCCACCGGCCTGCCCTGTGTGAACACTGCCCATCTCCGTCTCCACCGGACTGCCTGGGCTGCCCTGTGTGAACACTGCCCATCTCCGCTGACTGAGTCCAGTTCTCACCTGTGTTTAAACCAGAGACCCCAGGTGTGTGGGTAGTACAGGGGGAATGGAGAGGCCGGGCTGTACGCTGCCTCTGGCGCTCGCCTGGGCCCTGAAGGCCCTCAGCTGACTTCCACTTGCTTTAGCGTCTGGGAAGAAGGCCCCTCGAAACTGCGGCCCCCAGGCCTGAGGATTGCCAACCAGCGCCCTGGCCTGGCCCGTGTCAGAGCCTGATTTCCCTTTACCCCACACTCCAGCCGTCCTCTTCAGCCCTGGCTCAAGGATTGCGCCCTCACCCCTGCTCATCCCTCCTTCAGCCCCCCTCAGCCCTGCCTGGAAGGAGACTTACTGGGGTGGGCCGTGGAGAAGCTGCAAGGTCGCCCTCCTGCCGCCATGACAGCTAGAACTCGGGTTAATCCATAACTGCAAATATTTGCCTGCTTGGCCTTCATGGCTGAGGCCTCCCTTTGCACAGATAAACAAACAGTCCTCAGCTCAGGACAGCCCGGCTTGCCCAAAGCCCCTCACCCACCGATGGTGCCATCCAGGAGGGAGGGAGGTGAGAGATGGGCACCATGCAAACTGTGTACAGGTGTGGTCTTACTTTACCCTCCTTGGGCTAGCTGATGGTGGGACACTGTCCCGATTTTGCAGGTGACATTTTTACCCAGAGACATTGCAGTTTGCACCAGGTCAGCACAAGGGCAGTGAGTCCATATTTCACCACATCCAGGGTGTCAGTGCCAAGAGGTGCACCTGTTCTATGTGCCAGTATAAAAGAAACACTGTCGCCGGGCCGGTGTGGCTCAGTGGTTGAGCATTGACCCTGCACCAAGAGGTGATTCCTGGTCAGGGCACATGCCCAAGTTGTGGGCCTGATCCCCACTGGGGGGCATGCAGGAGGCAGCCAATCAATGTTCCCTCTCATAGATGTTTCTATCTCTCTCTCCCTCTCACTTCCTCTCTCTCTAAAAAATCGATAAAGAAAAACAAACCAAAACACACACCTTAGCAAAACCAAAAGATAAGTGATCAGGAAATTTAAAAAAATTTTTTTCAACTCCTATCACAGACCAAGGGACAATCTCTCCCTAATGAATATGAGCCCCTAGAAATCAGAAAGAAATGTAATAGAAAAATGGGGAAAGGATATGACAATTCACAGAAAAGAAACTATTAAAGGATCTAAGACACATGAAAAGATATTTACCCTAGAATAAATAAGATAAAAGCAAATTAAAATCATATTGAGATGCTATTTTTCATTTCTCAGATTGTGAAAATCTAAGAACATTCCATTGGTGAGGGACAAGGGGAAAGAGACCTCATAAGGTGCTGGTGGGACTATATCGGCACAGCACTCTACAGAAAGCAATTTGGAAATATTTATAAGAATTACAAAGGGTGTCTGGCCAGTGTGGCTCAGTGGTTGAGCGTCGACCCCTGCAACAAGAGGTCGCCGATTCGATTCCCATCAGGGCACATGCCCAGGTTGTGGGCCTGATCCCCAGTGGGGGCATGCAGGAGGTGGCCGACCGATGTTCTCCCTCATCGATGTTTCTATCTCTCTCTTCCTGTCCCTTCCTCTTTCTCCAAAAACCAATAACGGAAAAAAAATTAAATAAAATATTAATTTAAAAAAAGAGAACGAGTGAGAAAAAGAAACAGGATTCCGGAAAGACTGAGGCCCAGATGCCGGAAAGGAGAGGAGCAGAGGGGAGGCTGGGACCTGGAGCTTTTGCCCAGACCCTGCAGCCTGTCCGCACTCCCTAGACATCTTCGAGCCCTGCCCCTCCATGGAGGACGTGACCACACTGCTTGAGTCCCAGCCCCTGCGTGGTCACAGTGTCCACTGCTTTTGGTGACTGCACAGGGAAGTCCCTGTACCCAAAGGCCAACCAGATTTTCTCCCCCAGATCCCAGGTGTGGGCCTCGGAGCCCTCATTCCACTGGAGCACTGGACTCAGAAAAGTGTGAAGCCGGTGTCTGGGCATCAATGTTTGAGCCTAAAACAGAGGAAGCAACCAGGGGGAGAAGGCTGAGCAGGAGACCTCAGAGACCTGGAGAGGCTGAGGGAGACGGTGGGGCACATCTGGGCTTTCAGTTCATGAAGGTCCCCTGTCTCTTAGGAAATGCCCTCTTTCTTTTTTCTTTCTTTTTTTATCCTCACCAGAGGACATTTCTGCATTTATCTTCAGATAAAGCAGGAGGGAGAGAGGAAGAGAGAGAAACATCGATGTGAGAGAGACACCTTGAGTGGCTGCCACCCGCACAACTCCAACCCGGGGCCAGAGACAAACTGCAACTGAGGTACGTGCCCTGAGCAGGAACCAAACCCGGGACTCTCTGGTCCACAGGCCAAAGCTCTAACCACTGAGCCAAAACGGCCAGGGCATGCCCTCTTTCTTTAACTATCCTCATGTTGACTCAGTGGCTGTGTTCCTCTGGCTGGTACAGCATGGTGTCCGAGCTGTGCAGCGACCGGCCTCCTGCTGCCCACGTGGCCCCCTTGAGAAGGTCAGAGGCATGGGTGACAAGCTCACAAGGCAGCCCGCAGGGTGGAGGTCAGGCAGCAGCACAGAAAGCGTTGCTCCTAGGATTCAGAGGAGAAAGCACAAGCTGGGGTGGACCAGGAGGCTGCCTGGAGGAGGTGGAGCTTCACCTGGACATCAGAGGGCAGGCAGGACCCAGGAACAGGGGAAGCCCCTCAGGTGGGGAGGGAGCTGGAGGCCCAAAGGTGAGAGTCGGGGACGTGAGAGGACGGTGGGGTGGAGGCGGGGAGGGGATGCAGCAGAGCTTGGAATGGGGCCTATGGAAATGGGGAGCCAGTGGCTGTGCGTGGTCTGTGGCAGCTGCCAAGAGGAGGAGGCAGGTCAGGCATGGAGACCACATGCATGACCGTACACGAGGGGCAGCTTGCAAGCGGAGGAACTTGTAACCATGCCGGTGTCCGTGTTCTTGCTCCCCGTGTCCGCCCCGTAAGTCAGTCTACGGCAGCGACTGCTCTGGGCTCCACTTCGCCTCCTGCTTCCTCATCCGGCCTATGAAGTGCTAGGCCCTGTGATGCTCCCCAGGGCTCCTTCCTCCCCCGCAGAACTCCTTCCCTGCTGCCGCCGCCCAGCACAGAGGGCAGCATGTGGGAGAACCGGGGCAGCTCAGGACAGCGGGTCAGGAAAGGAAGAGGCCTAGCGAGTGTCGACAGACTGCAGGGCCCGGATGGGTTCCGTGTGCCATCCACATGGGGTCCACACACTGACCTGAACCTGCATGAGAGGCTCCCGGAAGTCCCCACCTCCAAACCAGCCCAGATGTCCACAGCACTGGCACCCAGAAGAGCCAGGGCAGCTGCAGTGGGAGAAGTGACCAGTGCAGCAGGTCTTCCAAGGCCTCGGGTGCTCAGAGGAGGTCAGGGCTTCTTCCTGTAGGGCTCTTGGTGCTGGAGCCGGCTGGGTGCTGCGGGGAGGGGACCTGGTGCTGCGGGGAGGGGACCGGGTGCTGCGGGGAGGGCATTGGGTGCTTCGGGGAGGGGACCGGGTGCTGCGGGGAGGGCATTGGGTGCTGCGGGGAGGGGACTGGGTGCTGCGGGAGGATGGGTGCTGCAGGGAGGGACCGGTGACCTGAATTGGGTGCTGCAGGGAGGGGACCGGGTGCTGCGGGGAGGGCATTGGGTGCTGCGGGGAGGGCATTGGGTGCTGCGGGGAGGGGACCGGGTGCTGCGGGGAGGGCATTGGGTGCTGCAGGGAGGGGACCGGGTGCTGCGGGGAGGGCATTGGGTGCTGCAGGGAGGGGACCGGGTGCTGCGGGGAGGGCATTGGGTGCTGCGGGGAGGGCATTGGGTGCTGCGGGGAGGGCATTGGGTGCTGCAGGGAGGGGACCGGGTGCTGCGGGGAGGGCATTGGGTGCTGCAGGGAGGGCATTGGGTGCTGCGGGGAGGGCATTGGGTGCTGCGGGGAGGGGACCGGGTGCTGCGGGGAGGGCATTGGGTGCTGCGGGGAGGGCATTGGGTGCTGCGGGGAGGGGACCGGGTGCTGCGGGGAGGGCATTTGGTGCTGCGGGGAGGGGAGCAGGTGCTGCGGGGAGGGGACCGGGTGCTGGGGGGAGGGCATTGGGTGCTGTGAGGAGGGGACCGGGTGCTGCGGGGAGGGGACCGGATGCTGCGGGGAGGGCATTGGCTGCTGCGGGGAGGGCATTGGGTGCTGCGGGGAGGGGACCGGGTGCTGTAGGGAGGGCATTGGGAGCTGCAGGGAGGGGACCGGGTGCTGCGGGGAGGGGACCGGGTGCTGCGGGGAGGGGACCGGGTGCTGCGGGGAGGGCATTGGGGGCTGCGGGCAGGGGACCGGGTGCTTCGGCGAGGGGACCGGGTGCTGCGGGGAGGGCATTGGGTGCTGCGGGGAGGGGACCGGGTGCTTCGGCGAGGGGACCGGGTGCTGCGGGGAGGGCATTGGGTGCTGCGGGGAGGGGACCGGGTGCTGCGGGGAGGGGACCGGGTGCTGCGGGGAGGGCATTGGGTGCTGCGGGGAGGGGACCGGGTGCTGCGGGGAGGGCATTGGGTGCTGCGGGGAGGGGACTGGGTGCTGCGGGGAGGGCATTGGGTGCTGCGGGGAGGGGACCGGGTGCTGCGGGGAGGTAATTGGGTGCTGCGGTGAGGGGACCGGGTGCTGCGTGGAGGGGACCGGGTGCTGCGGGGAGGGAATTGGGTGCTGTGGGGAGGGGTTCCCGGTGCTGCGGGGAGGGCATTGGGTGCTGCGGGGAGGGGACCGGGTGCTGTGGGGAGGGGACCGGGTGCTGCGGGAGGGGTTTCGGGTGCTGGGGGGAGGGGACCGGGTGCTGCGGGAGGTGTTTCGGGTGCTGCGGGGAGGGGACCGGGTGCTGCGGGGAGGGCATTGGGTGCTGCAGGGAGGGGACCGGGTGCTGCGGGGAGGGGACCGGGTGCTGCGGGGAGGGCATTGGGTGCTGCGGGGAGGGCATTGGGTGCTGCGGGGAGAGGACCGGGTGCTGCGGGGAGGGGACCGGGTGCTGCGGGGAGGGCATTGGGTGCTGCGGGGAGAGGACCGGGTGCTGCGGGGAGGGCATTGGGTGCTGCAGGGAGGGGACCGGGTGCTGCGGGGAGGGCATTGGGTGCTGCGGGGAGGGGACCTGGTGCTGCGGGGAGGGCATTGGGTGCTGCGGGGAGGGGACCTGGTGCTGCGGGGAGGGCATTGGGTGCTGCGGGGAGGGGACCGGGTGCTGCGGGGAGGGCATTGGGTGCTGCGGGCAGGGGACCGGGTGCTTCGGCGAGGGGACCGGGTGCTGCGGGGAGGGGACCGGGTGTTGCGGGGAGGGCATTGGGGGCTGCGGGGAGGGGACCGGGTGCTGCGTGGAGGGGACCGGGTGCTGCGGGGAGGGCATTGGGTGC